ACTCCAACTAGAGCACTGATGAATATAGTAGGTAAACAATGATTTAATGAATGAATACATAAATGAATGAGGTGGCAAATTACAATATAACTTTTTTTTTCCTATCGGTTCTGATGTGAGATATGCAATAGGTAGTATCTTTATAAGGCAGGGTTTTGCTCGTGGGCAACAAGTGCCTTAGCTGAATAGCTCAGGTTAGAATTTTCTTCAATGACATGTGTGCAAAGTGGCAAAAACCAATGGTTGATAGAACTGGGCAATCTTCCCATGGTGAAGAGAATGTTTCAATAGTGGAAAATCATTTTCTTTATAAGTTAATGTATTTGAATTTAGATTGTATTCTCATTGAAAAGATGTGATAAAGGGAGAGCAGGTTCTCAAGGCAATCCTAAATAATACAAAACATAGCTAAATTATAACTCTCATAGTACAAAAGATGCTTTTAGCCTTTACATATTACTTTAGTGGAAATCATGGAGATACAAGGAGGTCATTCATTCAAAGTTTGTGTACTTCACTCAAAAGTGGGAGTAAAAATGGATGGCAGAAGAATCTTTTTTACATTCATATTAAAGGAAAGAAATCCCATGTCTGTGTATGTACCTTTATATATAATACAATAAAATGATATATGTACATATGCGTATATACACACATGCACACATAAGAACTACTAGGTAGCAATCTATGCAAATCAATGACAGGGCAGCAGCTACTGCATCCAGACGACTTTACCAAGTGAATACAGGTTAAGGGAGAGAAATAGTTGTAGTATTATGAGGAATTCGGAAGGCTCCTTAAAGAGATATTTTAAGGTTATGTAGGCTTGGGAATAAGGAAGAAAGATTGGGCATTCAGAGTGGAGTATTCAGCATAAAGAAACACAAGAATTAGGGTATGAGGTGGAGTAAGAGAGAAACGAAGTAAGAAATATAGGCAGGGAATTGATGGAAGAACTTGAATATTACTTGCAGGAGTCAATTTTAGACAGTGCCATGCCTTACAGTTTTGGAGAGTTTTTAAACAGGTTTTAAAAAATGGCGTATCCCACAGAATCTAATCCTCAGAAGATTAAAACATAACAAGAACTTTTCAAATGACAAAAACCATAAAAGTCAAAAAAGTTCTTTAAAATTATCTTAATAGCTCTGTCATGTAAATCCTCTTTAAGAATTACTTTTTAATCACTTCTGTATGAAAATGCTCAGTGATCTGTTGTCTGACTTGCACTTTAAGCACTCTTTGGGAGCATAATTTGCCTGATGCTACAACTATATTTCTGTAAAGCATTACATTTATCATACGTGGCACCTAATTCAGGCAATGTGACAATTACATCACACCTTTTATCACATGTCATAGAAGTATTTCTACTTCTCATTTAAATTCATGGTCATTAACTTATTGATCAACCTGCAAGTTTTGGTGATTTACTTTCCATTGTTACTTTAGGGTAGGTATGTAATAAATAATATAAAATATAAATAATGTAAGCTCTTAAATATCAGATTTCATCCTTTTAAACCTCAACATATATAACATCTATGTTTCTTACATCCTGTGTAATAAACCACAATGAAACACATCACTAAACTATTTATTTATAATTTATTTATTAGTGCTCTTGAACATAAGTAACATTATACACTAGCCTTATGAGACAGTTTATTTTCAATTCTTAAAACTATTTATACTAAGCTTAGATCTCAACCTAGAGTACATCAAAAAATGCCAAATCCTTAATATCGCATTACAATTACTTACAAAAAAAGTTATATGTGAGAAAAAAACTTGATATTCCTACATAATAAAAATAAATTACAGACATGAAATTTTCTTAATGAAATTCAATATATTTCCAGGACATATAAACATATGTAGAAATACGACAGAATAACAGTCTCTGTCTTTGTACATAATCTTTCTAGGGGCATATCGAAGGATATTTTGACCTGACTAGTTGAAGTTGCTTCTCTCTTTGGATGACAAAATTCAGAATACTGTGACTAAAATACCCCCTTTAAAAGAGTCAAATGCAGAACTTTCAAGTATCTATTATTCCAATAGCTTGCTCTCTGAGCTCCACTGTCAGAGTTAATTCTACACAAAATGAGTGTGTTAGTTGTCATGTGCAACTGGGAAAACTGAATGGTCCCATTTGTCTAAAAACAGCACCTTCACTAGTATGTCTTAAAGTTGCATATTCATACTAGGAGGCCAACATTACCTTGACACCAAAACCAGATAAAGACTCCACTAAAAAAGAGAACTATAGGCCAATATCCCTGATGAACATGGATACAAAAATTCTCAATAAAACACAAGTAAACCAAACCCAACAGTACATTAAACATTGAAATTTAAATGTCTATATTCCATCTGAGATAATGAATACTGAGCATCAACAATTAGCATTCTTTGTCATATTAATAGGAATTATTTTTATAAGATTGGAAACACCCTTATTTCAATGAATCAAAAGTTCTAACGTATAGAGATGATGAAGTGAACACCATTTTCTCCACTCCAAATTACTCATCCACATCCCACTCACAACCTGCACACAAACACACATATGCTAGAGCATAAGCTTTTTGGGAATTTTGTCAGGCCAAAGCCCTTGGACTCTAGCAGTATACAGGACTGTTCCTTTATTTTCATGTTGAGGATAAGCAAATTATGTTACTCTGAATACACAATTCTGAAAACTCTACCATGTTAACGGAAATATCCCTCCTTCAATCCTAACTTTTTTCTGTTCCTACATTCAGTTCAAAATAAGTTTATCCATCTCTTAAATACATAAAAGTCTAGTAAAACTGAATATTAGCATATACAGACCTCTGAAAACAGAAAAATATCACATGAATGCCTTCTGGATAGTCTGTGCTCCCTTGATTCTTTATTTTCATTCTAAAGGTCATAGATCCTCTTTATTGGCTTCACCTCATTCAGTGTTTTTTTTTTCCTCTCTCTTTATTGTGTCATTCATCAATTTACCCTCAACAGGCACTTTTCCACCACGTATCTCCCTATGCCTATATCATATAGCTCAGCTTCACCCTGTTCCACATATTGTCTAGGTAGTAAGTAGTTTTCATTATGTCTCTCTTTGGGGAGTCACAGTTAATAGTTCTATGCAAAAGGCAACCCTCAACTGCTGTCATTAACCATTTTAAGATATTTTATAGTTTGAATTAACATTTTAGTATAGATAAAACTTGAAATAGAGTGCCTACAATTCAAAATCCCCTTTAGGGGAGAAAAGCTGCTTTCTTAAGGGGTTTATACATCATTTGAAGAATTAACTGAAAGCCAGAAATAAGTAGAAACACCCCAATTTGCAATTCAACCTAAATTTTTGTTCAACTACAAATTAAAGTTCAGAAATAAGTTTTCTGCTAATGTCCATTAAATTTAAATGCTACCTTCCCCAATGCTATGGTGAGCACTCTGAATTGTGCAAGACTGTTGAATCACAGGTCTGTACTTCTGAAACAAATAATGCAATATATGTTAAGAAAAAAAAAAAAGAAGAAGAAGATAGCAGGAGGGGAAGAATGAAAGGGAGTAAATCGGAGGGGGAGATGAACCATGAGAGACGATGGACTCTGAAAAACAAACTGAGGGTTCTATAGGGGAGGGGGCTGGGGGGATGGGTTAGCCTGGTGATGGGTATTAAAGAGGGCATGTATTGCATGGAGCACTGGGTGTTATATGCAAACAATGAATCATGGAACACTACATCAAAAACTAATGATGTAATGTATGGTGATTAACATAACAGTAAAAAATTTTTTAAAAAATTTAAATGCTACCTTTGTTTCAGCACTCATTTGTTTTTAGGAATTCAATGATTTGTCAAAAATAAAACCCAATTAATTCCAATTAGAATGTAGTCTAATGTACATTTCAATAATTCTATTATTTGTGTTCATATACATACAGTAACATCCTGTATGAATAGAAAGTACTGAGAGATGGGTCCAGTTCCCCATCACAATTCTAACCTTTCAGAAACATTTCCATAAAAAACTATTTTGAGATAACAGTTTTATTCATAAAATATACACACATTATATATCTGCATCTATACCCACACTTCATTTACATGTACATGTCATTAGAATATTTGCATGAGTGTTCATATTCCTAGGTCAACATATGTAAATAAATCACATAGCAATTTGAAATTTAGCAACTAAATAGGCAATCTGTTAAGCATAATCAGACATGCTATTCAGCAACTGTATGATATAATTCAATCTTCCAAAGAAAATACATGTTTTGCACGAGGGTGCCTTATAGAAACTTGATGACGTTTTCTAGGAATTTGTACTGAAATTTTCACATATTCAAAAAATAATAGGTAAAGCCATTTGACTAATGCTTAAATAAAAGGCAAATCTCATCACTATAACCTGGTAAGAATCTAATTGTCTTATTGTCCATCATTTGTAAATATGATACACTAATTGGAGCTATTTCCAAAGAGAATGCAATCTTCTAGTCAAGATCCTATTCACTTATTAACATAAATGAAAGAAACTGGGGGCACCTGGGTGGCTCAGTCATTGGGCATCTGCCTTCCGCTCGGGTTGTAATCCCAGGGTCCTGGGATCAAGCCCCGTGTCGGGCTCCCTGCTCTGCGGGAAGCCTGCTTCTCCCTCTCCCACTCCCCCCTGCTTGTGTTCCCTCTCTCGCTGTCTCTCTCTCTAATGAATAAATGAAATCTTTAAATAAATAAATAAATGAAAGAAACTGTCATAAAATTAACCACTATCCATAATGTTTTGATAAGCTAACATATATTTTAAAATTTACTATTCACTTCATGAATATGATGATCATCATATATCATTCCCTCTATTTTTCAGATAATGATTTGATTTTTTGATGGGTTATTCAATAGCTAAAACCAGTAATCAAAGAAAGCCAATGAGTCTAATGTGTCAGAGTTAAACAGACTAAAAAGTACATCAGTTCAAAATAAGCATTACCTTGATCTGAATTTTCATAAAAAACAGCATATCTCTTGCCAGGTAACACCATTTCTTTGGGTTCTGTGGGCAAAGAGAAAAGAGATTAATAAAAACAACCTTTCTTTTTACTCTTTAAATACTTCTTAAAGAAGATTCATTAGTAATAAAGGTCAGAGAGGAAAATCACTTAGCAAAATACTCAGCTCCATTCAGCAGCTGCCTTGGGAAATACTTGCTATAAATGCCAAGTAGTTTCCTAAAAGGTTCCTCCTCTCCTATAGCTGATACTCAGCCTTGTTTTCCTTGCTTCTCTATCTTCTCACATGGGAACAAAACTAGCACTTGAGCAAGAAAAAGCATTAGTTTCCACCATTTCAAAAGACAAGATGTAAGCCATGTTGGGACAGAACATTTACTTGGAATACAACTAACTGAAATGGAATTTGCAATTATCTAAACTTATTTTTCTCCCTCCTGCAGTGAGTATGGGTTTTGAAATATTCATGAAAGCTTGGGTGTTTTCCTATTCTGTCTTTCCACAGAAGTGATAACATGAGATATTATGGGATGACTCTGTAAATAATTGCAGATTACCCTGCTTATATGATGCAATTTCAGAGCTTTTCTATGCTGCAACAAGGAGGAAAGCACTTTATAGAAGTCAAAAGTATGAAAATATATCTTATTCCCTCTCTTAGTGTATAACAATCTTGATGAGTATTCCATAAGAGATTTTATTGCATCATTATCTGAATGTTCAGATTGGAGAATAAGAAATTCAAGTCTGAGCAACAGCTTTCCAGAAAGGAATGTTACATAGCTAGGTAAGAATTTTAAATTCATCCCTCAAGAAAGTTATTTGAACAAATGTTAACAGTTAAAAACATCACTGATTAACTGACTGTAACAATCACTGTAAGAATAGTCTTATAACTGTAATCACTGCATCTTACTAGCAAGTGACCTTGGGCAAGTACATTAAACTCTGTAAGCCTTTACATTTCATCTGTAATATCAGAATAATAATCCCTCCTACTCCACAGAGCTGATAAATGATATAAAAATGTATAAGGGATATAGAACTAATGACTATTACTTAATATAATTATCAATAACATTATTATTATCATTGTTCCCCTTTCAAAAAAATCTCACTACCCTATTGAAAATCTCTGCTCCTGTGAGCCATGTGGTGGAATGATTAAAATAATATCATACTGGACATCACCGAATTTGCCTATTTGTTAATCACAGTCTGTGATAACAAAAATGAAAGAAAGAAAGAAAGAAAGAAAGAAAGAAAGAAAGAAAGAAAGAAAGAAGAAAGAAATAAAGAAAAAGAAAGAAAGAAAGAAAGAAAGAAAGAAAGAAAGAAAGAAAGAAAGAGAAAGAAAGAAATTAAGAAAGAAAGAAAGAAAGAGAAAGAAAGAAAAAGAAAGTCATTTTAGGTCTTTGGACAGGTGGAGAAAAAAAAAATTTTCAGAAGGATGAGTAAGTTGTCAACCACTCTACTGCACTGGTTTCTCTTGATTTTGCTGAAGATTTTAATTTAAAGAAATCCTCCAAGAAATTATGATACATTTCAAGATTCTCTTAAAGAAACTGCCCCTTGTGTACTCTTATCAGTACTCAGTCCCATTCAGAAAATACCTCATGGGCCCCTAGTGCAAGACAAGGGTATGGACTGACTTAAAGAAAACAATAAACAAAATGTGACCCAAGGAAAACACAGTTCAGTGGAGGAAACACATCTTTAGACAATCATTTCAAGTAACTGGTGTAAATACCAAGTTTAAATCATTAAACAATATACAACGTGTTGGAGCAATAGAAGGTATTGAAAGAATATTCTGCAGTCAGGAAAGGGAGATTTAAAAAATAATCTTTAAAAAGTTAGTCAGAATAGCTGAACTGATACGCACTGGCTGACTATCAGTCCTGTTTTGTCTAAGAAAATTTCACAAAAGAGAGGAACTTTGAAAGACTAAGTCTGGAAGGCAGGTGGGAAAGAATGTCTTTCCAGGGAGCTGAGACAGTGCATACAAAGAACTGGAAGCATAAAAAAACATGGAGACCAGATTAGCATGAGGCTGACTTGCAGAGCCCATTATACTTCTCCCCAATCTCTCATTAAAATGCTCAGAGGCTGTCAAAGAAGAGAAATACTAGTAACGGCATCAGGAGAAAAGGGACAAAATATAAAAAGGTATTTCCATTGTTTGTGCATAACACCCAGTGTTCCACTCCGGGTGTTATGCACAAACAATGAATCATGGAACACTACATCTAAAACTAATGATGTAATGTATGGTGATTAACATAACAATAAAAAAATTTTTTAAAAATTAAATCCACATAGAAACAAAAGTATACTAGAGTTTGCCTTCAAAATTCCTTTCTTTTAAAAGTAATTTTTCAAAGAATAAAAAAAAAGGTATTTCCAGTAGCTGCATCCCTGATAGGGACAGATTAAGTAACACTGTTTTAGAATCAAACCTCTTATTGTATATTTTGAAAGATACAGCATATATGACTAGAAATAAAGAAACTGGGAAGGGACTTTGATTCACACCAATAGTCCCCAACTCCAAGATGCTGGAATCAAGCAGACCAAAGTCTGCATAACATTTCTTGTGGGTTGAATGGTGCCCCCCAAGAAATATATTAAAGCCCCACCCTTGCACCTGTGAATGTGACCTTATTTGGAAATGGAGTCTTTTCAGATATAATTAAAATGTGAGTTAAGATGATATGATATAGATAGGGGGGACCCTTAATCCAATATGACTGGTGTCCTTATAAGATGAGGCACAAAGACACATGCAGAGAGGAGAATGCCACATAAAGACAAGGCACACAGAGGGAGATCATGTGATGAGGGAAGAAGAGACTGGAGTCAACAAGCCAAAGAATACCAAAGATTGCTGACAACAGAAGCTAAGAGAAAGTCATGGAACTGATTCTCCCCTAGAGCTTACAGAGAGAACATGGCCCTGTTGACCCCCTTATTCTGGATTTAGAGCCTTTAGAATTGTGAGAGAATAAATTTATCTTATTCTAAGCTACCCCGTTTGTGGTAATTTGTTATGGCAGTCCTAGTAAACTAATGTAGCATTTTTTGAGGCAACAAGAAATAGGCCCCTACCCTGATCACTTGGGAGTTTAAAAAATCTTACAGTTATACTGTCAGCAAAAAATATATTCTCAATTTAGAATCTAGAATAGCCAGTTACATATAAAAAGCTGATTTAAAGTTTAAATTGTCTTCCCTCCATAGCTAGGATCCGCTGTAAGCGGAAACCAACAGCCAATGAAGAGGAATATGTTGGTCCTATATTTTTACCCCAGGTCCCTCTTCCCCAGCCAGTTAATCTTGCTCCCAATGCCTCTGGAATATGAGAGTGGAGTGAAAAAAATGTAAGGTAAGGAAAGAAGAGGTAAATGGAGAAGGAAAATTTACTTTCTGTTCACTGAGCTGAGAGCTATTATGTATTTAAAGCTGATTCTCAACCAGTGGATGCTTTTCCAGGTTTTTCAGGGATTATTTCCCCTTCTCCAATCACTGAGGACCTTTCATTCATACTACCTCAACATGAGTCATACTGTCTCACTTTATCACTTACTACATCCACAGCTCCAACTAACACGTTCAGCTATCTGCTGAAGCCAGTTCAGCCCCTGGGCAGCTCTCTGGGACAGCTTCATGATTGCTCCCTCACATTCATGGCAGGGACCTCTCCAACAAACCCTGGGGAAATGGGCTACTCTCAATTGAGCATCTCTACTTTCTTTACCATAAATGCTCACTAGCTCATCTTGGCTTTAGATTCATCAGAAATCAGTCCACTGTCTCCACAACCACCCCCAAAACTTCAAGGGACACATATTAAACTCTCACTGAGTTTTGTTGAAGCACCTCTTTTTATCACTGGGAGGGAAAAAAAGGTAACACCCCACAACCTACCTCCTTGTGGACATTCCCAATGGACCCTCAGTTCACTCCAAAGAAATAAGCCTTTAATCTCTAGACCTCCCACCCTTTTTGGATTAGGAATGTAGGAGTTATCTAACCATTTCTCATGCTCATACTAGGGAATTTCTACAAGGTGACCTGTGTTCATAAATCGCTTTGGTATCTGATAGCTATTGTCTTAAAGGGTCAATATTTTCCCATTTACATAGGAGTTTTCACAATCTGAATTTTAAGAGACTCATGGGGGAAGCAGCTAAAAATTGTATAACATGCCTACTGGATATATAATCTTTTTTAAGTTTTTTGAGCATTCCATGCATTTTATATATAAATTCAATAAAATATAATCAATATTATCTCTCCTAATCTTCAATATAATCTCTCATCTTCAGTCAGGCAGAGTGCTTAATAGCTCCCACGTTGCTCTCACCAATTCCACTTTCCATGTCTGTTCCTTCTGGTTGTAGCTGAATTCTTACTTTTTAGTACCTTCCAAATTTACCACCCTGTCAATGTTTTAATGCCAACTTCTCCACAAAGTGATCCCCAGGTATTTTGGAGTTTGTTGATTTTATCACTCTCTGACCTTGTGTAGCAATTATAGCCAATGCATATAATTTATATTGCTTTCTTGGGTTGTCTTGTGCTATCATGTCTCCCCAACTATATTTTAAGTTCCTCAAGAGTATTTGTATCTTGTGCCTCTCACCTATCCCCTTTAGTACTTAATTCAATGCTTGGCACATAGGAGGTGGTTCCTAATAAATACATACTCACTTCCATGTACTAAATATCTATTAACAAAGATAAGGCAGAGCTAACTTTTGTGGCATAAATGTCTTATCATGTCCCATATAGAAATTACAGTCCTTGCCATTGCCACATAAAATTTAAAGAACATTTGAACAAACTAATATGTCAGATAGAACAGAAGCAGAAGACAAAGGAACATGAGAAGTGATATGCCATCAGAAAACAAAGAAGTCATTAGGGAAATATAATCCATATGCAATGCTTTTGCATTTCTCTATGTTTGACCTCACCTTTCTGCCAGGGGTAGCACTTGTCTCAGAGGGATTAGGATTGTTACAAGGTAAATAAAATAAGA